ATGTGTTCTCATAGCCAGGGACTCTTCAAGGGAAGGACATCCCTAAAAAGGGAATTTCTTACTCCAAAATCACAGATGATTCTAGCAGAGGGAGGATGTGTTTGTGACGGGGAGACCTTCGCTTTGGTTAAAGAGAAACCCACGCAGCTGCACGTGGGTGCTGGGCCAATGCTGAATAATGAGAACTTGGGGCATTCAGAGCCTTGAGGACAGACAGACATGGGGATGGTACCCTCAGCTAAGGTCAAGGGTGAATGATGGGAAGAATGTACCCGAATGCGCTTCAATGTACTTGAATGCACAAAGCATGGAGGGAGTATATGTGGGGCTGCCATGTGACCTTGAACCTGCCCTCTGCACTTTGGTGTGCTCATCTGTAAAATGGGAATGGAAGCAGTGTCTTCCTTTTAGGGTTCTTCAGGGACTTAATGAGGTGATGCAGAGGATGATAACTGAGCTCATTCACAGTGGTGCGACAGGCGTACAGAGAATGAGCTGTGAGTGCTGTGTCCAGCTCAGGCCAGACAGAAGGTAGAAGGACCCAGAGCCTGGGTGGTCATGATGGGGAGGCTTGGATGGGACCTGTAAACCTGATGTCCGGAAGGCTGCTCACAGGAGTGGCCAAGACCTGCTGAGGTGACAGCAGGGGCGCCAAGGAACAAGAGAAAGGCAGATGGCAGTTCTGTGGGGTGGTGCCGCCTTCGTGCCAGACCAGGGCCAAGGGCTTTACATGCAACAGGCCCTTCCAACAACCCTGTAGGTAGGTACCACCGTTCCCAGTTCATAAATGAAGAAACTGAGGCTCAGAGAGTTGAATGTCTTGATCAAAGTCCCAGAAGGAAAAGGTGAGGGACCCATGGTGGGACCCTGGGCTGCCTGTCCCCCAACACATACAGTCTTCCCAGGCCAGGTTGGGGGGCTCCCACGGACCGGGCTGTGGCTGGCAACCAACCTGCCCTCCCTCACAGGCGGGACAGGCCTGTATTGGTTGGGTCAACGAGCATTCCACAAACATTTGTTGCTCACCTTAGTGTGTACGGGGCCTTGTGCTCAGCTCCGAAGACAACGGTGACCCTGGGGAAATGGACCTGGAAACGGATGAAGGGGAGTCCTCAGGATAAATACTAGAGTGGGGAAGGGCTTCGAGGGTGAGGAGCTCAGCCAGGTGGACATCTGAGACTGTAGAGGAGAAGGGGGGCTTCCTGGAGGAAGGGATAGCTAAGCTAAATCCTTCAGAATACACAGGTGTTTGGTTGTCAGAGGTTGGGGGCGGAAGGAATGGTGTTCTAGCCCTAGGGACAGCAGGAGGAAAGGATTGGCAGTTTACATGGACAATGATGGTGGGGGTGGGGGTTGCCAGCGAGCCTGTGTGTTGCCAGCTTCATGGTGTGGCCATGAAGCTGCCCTCCGGATTTGGAGCTTGGAGACTGGGGTGGGGGTGGGGGAAGCCCACACAGAGGATTGGCACTGAGAGGGCCGGCAGCTGGAGGGGAAGCCACAGGTGGAGGCAGAGCCTCGGAGCCTCCCCATGTCACCCCACCATCCCCCGCCACCCCCCAGGCCAGCCCCATCCTGGCCTGTTGGCCCTAGTGTGGGAAGCAGAAACATACCCATCTGGCACCCCCCACACAATTCTGGGGAGTGAGAACTATTGTCCCCATCTTGCAGGTGAGGACACAGACCCAGACTCGCCCAAGGTCACAGAGACGGTGAGTGGCTGAGTCGGGACTGAGATCATGACCTGGGCTCCAAATCTAGTGCCTTGGGTACTAGCAAGGCCTTTCTTTAGCTTCTGGCTTTGGGACTCCTGTGGGACAGGAAGGCTCAGAGCTTCTCAGCCAGAGCAACTCTCACTCTGTCGGTATTTGCCATCTCTGTGCAGCATTGCCGGAGAGGCCCTGGCCTCAAAGGGCCTGCTCAGCTCACTGACCTCTTCTGTGTTCACGGCTTTTACACTGACAACTCGCTGCATCCTCACATGGAGAAGGAGACAGTGTTGTTCAGCCCATTATACAGATCAGTAAGCTGAGGCTCAGAGAGCAGAAATTAGTTGTGCAGTCACTAGCCAGGGAGTGGTGGAACCGAGCATTGAAACCAAGTCCATCCGATGCCCCTGCCATTCGCCTGTGGCTGGGACTGCCTCTCAATGGCCAGTTCCATGGGTCCTTCATGATGAGAGGGTTCGAAGGCAGGAGAGGGGCTCACAGAGAGGAGGGGACCCCCTGGTGCCCCCAGCCCCTCCCACACATGTGTTCTTAGCGCTCACCCCGGCTTGTAGACAAAAGGCAGCCCCATAATTGGGAGCGAGTATTTCATGCGTCCCCCCCGATGTTTTATTGGGTAGAGAGATGCTTGGAGACCAAACGGATGGCACATTCCGTTTATAAAGTGTGCGCAGTTTGTTTTATATCCCGAGTTTTTGCAATCTAGATAACAGATGATGCCCCGAGTGGCTGGCGCTGCCTCCGTAATGGCGGCACTGAGCCTTTGGAGAAGTATTAATAATAGATTGTGTTGATGAGTTTGGAGAAAGTAGCAATCGACCCCCTGCTGCCAAGGCATTAGCACGGCTGCTCTGAATGCAGCTTGCGTGGTGGCAGTGCCTGCGAATGCAGGTCACCCCTCCTGTCACCCCCCCCTCCCCTACCTAAGAGGGCCTCCTGTCTGGGAGCCGCCCAAGGCGTGCTGACCCTGGCAGAGATGCAGCCGGCGCCTGTCTGCTCATAGGCTGCTGAGGCTGGGCTGCAGAACTTAGCATGGCACCTAGGTCAGGAGGTAGAATTGTGGGGGAGGGGAGAGAGGGGCAGCGAGGAGGGCAGGGCAGAAGCATCTTTCATGTCAGGGCATCAAGTTCTGGAAACCTGGCTCCTTCCCCAACGCCTTGGCAGAGCCGGACAGCCAACCAGATAACTAGGGGCCCCGGCTTGCAGCTGCTGTGGACAGTTGGGTAGGTTGTACCCTGAACAAAGGAATCCAGCCAGAGAGCCAAATGGGAGCTGAAATCCAGCTCACGTTCCCCTTGCAAAGCCATGTACTGTGTGGGCTAGTGGGGTCCCGTCACTCACCTGCTTTGCAAGCACTCACCGAGCCCTCCTCCAGGGTCACATAGAGCCACGTCCCGCCTCGTGGGACCCTTGTAGAGTTGGAAGCTGACCTGTGCTGCCACTGTGATGTGATACTTATTTACCAAGCTGTGTGCGCAGTCTCATCGACTCCTGACAACAGCGCTTTGGGGGAGGTCCTGTTGACATCTCCGTTTCACAGTACAGGGAACTGAGGCCTGAGAGAATCTCAAGGGAGCCTGTGGGAGGCCGCTTCCCCCTGACTGGGACATCAAAGAAGGCTTCCCAGAGGAGGTGGCATTGCAGTTGGGCACTGCAGGATGAGTAGGAGCCCGCTCAGTAGCATAGAGGTGGGTGGCAGGGGTTGCTGGGGATGCCCCCAGTGTGAGGGGCCTGGCCGGTGCCAGGACAGCGGGCAGAGCTCGGGTTGGCCCTGTCCAGCGCGCCCCACTCCCTCATCGTGGGCGCTGCTGATGGCAGCCCCGGGAAGGGAGGCAGGCCGAGTGCCTTGCATTTATGGCCATTTCTGTTCCAGAACCGATTAGTAGAGAATTGCAGCTGTAATCCGTGCCTGTGATGGCGGGCCATAAAGAGGAATGGGATGTGCACAGCGCTCCCAGGGTGGCGCCCGCAGACGTGGCCCAGGGACGTGGGGAATGAAAAATGGTTTTAATTCCCTCCCAGCAGCAATAATTTGATTCTTCATAAATTTTTCCATCAAAGTGTTGTTGAGGCTGAGTTCCCACAGAGCAGGGCACATGACGGGGAGGGAGGAGGCGGGAGGAGCGGTCAGTAGGTGAGGGCAGGGGAGGGGCCGGGCTGCTCAGACCTTTCTGCCCACGCTGGCTGGAGGTAGAGAGACCCCCGCCTGGCTTTGTCTCCAGAGAAGGAAGACAGATCCGGTTCGTCATGTCATGGAGGGGGCCGGATCAGGCCCAGGCTCCGCGTCGGCCCCCATCACTTACTACCTTGCGACCCTGAGCAAGGGACTCCACCCCTCGGCACCTCAGTTTCCGTATCTCTAAGATGGGATTCGTGTTCATTCCCATCTCACAGGGTTGTTGCAAGGATTAAGTGCATTTCTGCCTACGGAGTGCTTAGAACAGCGGCTGGCACGCTGAACGTGCTCAGTGAATTTCTGCCCGTGATAAAGATACTCAAGCTGAAGTGAGGCATAAGTAGGTAGGTGTTAGCTCAGCCAACAGGGAAAGAACGTGTGGAAAGGCCGGCTGAAGGTGCCCTGGAGAAGCTACAGGCGGTTGCCTCCGGCCGTGGCCTGGGGGAGCAAAGGCAGGAAGAGAAAGAGACAGGATGCAAAGGGCCTTGAGGCACCAGGGAGTCATGCAGGAGCCCGGAGCAGGGAAACAGCAGGAGCGGATGTGTGTTGTAGACGGCTCCCTCTGGCTCTCATCCTGGAGGATGAATTGAAGGGTTAGAGGGGCCAGGAGCCCAGGATGGGGACTAGGGCAGCTGCCCAGGCAGGAGAGGAGGGGCGTTGCTTGGGTGGTGAGTTGGACAAGGCCAGGGATTGCTTGGATGTGGGAGAGAGGGGGCAGCCAGGAGGAAGCGGAGCAGGTCCTGGAGCGAGGGTAGACCTGCGTGCCCTTTTCCGGGCAGGACCACCTGGCTCTTGGAGAAGGTTGAGACTGACCTTGTGCTCTGCCCTCTAGTGGCCACTGTGTCTCTGAGCAGGAAAGACCCAGAGCTGACACACCCAGCTGGGCAGGATGCCCATCTCCCCCCCAGCCCCCACCCTCCGGGGCCACCAGGGCCCTGAGAGTCATTGGAGGAGGGCTACAGACCCCTCCCACTCTCTGGCTCTGTGCCCAGGATGGGTCTCTCCCACCTGGGGTGGAAGGCCAGGGTGGCAGGTGGGAGCGGCCGGCCCTTGACGGGACCCCCGAGCCTAGCCAGTGTGCCCACACTGTGCACCTGCAGGCTCTTCGCAGCCAAGTGCAGCGGCTGCATGGAGAAGATCGCCCCCACAGAGTTCGTGATGCGGGCCCTGGAGTGTGTGTACCACCTGGGCTGCTTCTGCTGCTGTGTGTGTGAGCGGCAGCTACGCAAGGGCGACGAGTTTGTGCTCAAGGAGGGCCAGCTGCTGTGCAAGGGTGACTACGAGAAGGAGAAGGATCTGCTCAGCTCCGTGAGCCCCGACGAGTCCGACTCTGGTGAGCCATGGCGGGAGCTGGGGGCAGGCGGCCGGGAGGGAGCCCCTGCCGGCGAAGGGCCTGAGCTCTGCACAGACGGCACACCCACATCGCATGCATATGGTGCTGATGTGTTCACCTGGCCATGTGCCATTACCTGACACCCCCAGGCACGCAGATGCACACGTGGACACTACCACGTGTCGTGTACCAGCGTGTGTGCCTATGACGACACATACGCGTGCGTGCACGCATGCACATATAATGCATGTGTGGATACCCATGCCCGGAGTGTATATACATGGACATGTGTGCATGTGTAGACCTGTGCTTAGATGCCCACACATGCACAAGCCCACATTCAGGAAGACACACGTGCTCATGCACTTAAACATGCACACATGTGCGTGCATGACCCAGCATGCACATCACACATGCACTGAGCAGCTCTGCGTGTGGCCACACACGTTTTTGCACATGCTCACACCTGCACACTCACGCACACACCCTGCTGTCTGGCCCACCGCCCTCACCCTCTCTGTCCCTGACGCGGCCTCCACCACTGCACGGCACCACAGGTCTCTGCCAGCACCGGGTCTGCAGGCTGGTGGCGGCAAGAGGCGGATATCTGACACGTCCTTCGTCAGTGAGGAGCAGCAGCCTGAGCTGTTGTTTCCCCTCTGGGTGGGGCCCCGGGGCCCTCTGTGGTGCAGGGAGAGGCCCTGTTTCCTGGGACGAAGGCACCCCTCGCCTCTGCTCCAGCCTCCAGAAGGACTGTGCCAGCTTCGAGCCCTCCTGCAGAAGGGCGGGTACGGGAGAGGAGGAAGGAGTCTTAGAAGGGAAAAGCCAGGGAGAAGGCTGGTGCCAGGTCATGCCAGGGTAGCGGGGAGCACTCGAGCAGAGGGTGCAGAGAGGAGATGCCCTCGTCTGCTGAGCCCTTTGGGGTAACCTAGAGCCCACGGTCACCAGATCCGCCCATCTGGAAGAGCTTTGTTACTGTTGGGGCCCTTGGAGGAAGTAGTGAGCCTCCCATCCATCTGTCCCTCTGTCCACCCACGGGCAGGGCACCCTGGAGGCTGCCTGGACCCTTACGGCGGAGCAGACAGTGGCCGGGTGCCTCGGGCCCATTCATATGGAGCCTGGGAGGGGGTGTTGGAGGGAGGAGCCCCGCCCCCTCCAAAGCGGGGGCAGCGGGGTGGGGGGGCTGCTCCTGCTCTGAGGAAGATGAGCCTGGGAAGAGGAGTCCAGTTCAGACTCAGGGGCTGCAGGAAGCACATGGTGTCCGTCTGGGCCGGCATCTCCAAGGCCCACACCTCTGGGGCCTGGAAGTGGCTGTGTCCATGCTGGGTGTGAGTGTGTCTCTGGGCGAATACACTGCATGCGTGTGTGTGTGTGTGTGTGTGTGTGTGCACGTGCGTGTTTGTGTGTGTGTGTGTGTGTGAATATGTCTTCAAGCTGCGTGTGCCCAGTCCTCTGTGGACCCATGTGCCAGTGTGCCTGTGCATATGCAGCTGTTTGAGTGTGTAACTCGTGGTGGGGAGGAGGTGCTGTGGTCATGAATACTCCTGTGTGAGAATGTCTGGGGGATGTCATCACCTGACATTTCCTGGTCCCTGGAAGCTTCAAGGAAGACGCCCCCCTCCCCCGGAGTCCCCTCTCTGGGTCCTGGCGCCCGCTGGCCCTGGTCTCGTGCAGTGGGTTTTCTCTAAGGCCGACATGCTAGGCTGGGGTCTCCAGAGTGCAGGGAGGTGGAGAAGAGGGGGGCCAGCCCTGGCGGGTGTTGGCTGCAGGTAATGGGATCCCAGCAGGCAACAGCCTAAGGGTGCAAGGCTGAGAGCCGCGTACAAAGCTGACGGGCCGGGTATGTCCTCCGCAGTGAAGAGCGAGGATGAGGATGGAGACATGAAGCCGGCCAAGGGGCAGGGCAGCCAGAGCAAGGGCAGTGGGGACGACGGGAAGGACCCCCGGAGGCCCAAGCGACCCCGGACCATCCTTACCACGCAGCAGCGGAGAGCCTTCAAGGCCTCCTTCGAGGTGTCCTCCAAGCCCTGCCGGAAGGTGAGGGGCCGCCGGGGTGGGCGGGGCTGCTACCCCACTCCCCTGCCGTCCCAGACAGTGCCCCTACCACCCTTGCTGGGGGCGGGACCTCCCTGAACCTCCCGGCCACCCCGCAGTCCCCCCGGCCCCCCTGCCCCGCCCCCCAGCCTGATCTGCGTCCATCCGTCTGTCCCTCCGGGCAGGTCCGAGAGACTCTGGCAGCGGAGACTGGCCTCAGTGTGCGCGTGGTCCAGGTCTGGTTTCAGAACCAAAGAGCCAAGGTGAGAGGCCACCTATCACCCCCACTGGGCAGGATGGAGTGGGCGGTGCGGGCAGAAGACAGGGTCCTGATGGGAGGCGCTGGGAATGCACGGGAGCAGGGAGGCAGGGACTGGCACGACCTGTGTCCCCTGCAGATGAAGAAGTTGGCGCGGCGGCACCAGCAGCAGCAGGAGCAGCAGAACTCCCAGCGGCTGGGCCAAGGTGAGCCGGGGCCAGGGCGCGGGGGCCCAGGCTCAGCCTCCGGTAATAAGGTCCCACCCTCCGCCCCCCCAACTGACCCCTTCCCCCTGGGCCGTCAGGGCTCGGGGAACTGCTGCCTGGGAACCTGGTGAGGCGGAGAGAGGCGGTGGGGACGCAAGCAGGGTGCAGGAGGAGGGGTGGCAGGGAGGGCTGCCCGGAGGGGGTGGCAGAATTTTCGGGGTCAACACTGCAGCCATCTGAGAATGCCTGGCTGGCTCAGTAGAGCACGTGACTCTTGATCTCAGGGTCGTGAGTTCAAGCCCCACGTTGGGCATAGAGCTGACTTAAAAAACAAGAGCCAACCTGCCACCTGCAGCTGTCTCTCACCTGCAGGCTGTACCGGGCGCTCTTCTCCCCCCTGCCCTGCCCGGCCTCACCTAACTCCCACAGACCCACGGGGGGCGGTGGGGAAGGGCATTGTCACAGCCTGTTTCACAGCCGAAGAGGCTGATGCTCAGTGAGACCAAGGGACTCGCCGGGGTCACTCAGTTTATAAGGGATGAAGCCGGCCCTTTAATGTGACCATACATCCCACTGCTCATGATAGAATTCAGCAGGAATCTCCAGAGAGCTTCTGCAGGGCGTTGAGGAGTTCGGGGTGGGCTCCTGGTGGGTGATAAGGAGCCAGTTTGAGGGGCAGTGGCCAGGTCCCCTGCCCCCAAAGACTGGGCTTTGCCAAAATGCTATTTCCACTTCTTGGGCCGGGGCTCACCTCCCAAGCCCCATGGGGACATTGAGCCTTGAAGGGGGGGCACAGGGAGGTACTCAGGACTGCTCTAATGGGGTGGGGGCCCTAGAGCTGCCTGGTCCCAGGTGAGACCAGAGGCCAGGATGCTGATGGGCAGCCCCTCCTACTCAGGACTCAGGGTCAGGCCAGTGTCCCCGGCTGTGCCTGAGCCTCGGAACCCAAGTACTGACTGGGTTCCTCTGCCCCCTCTGACCCGTCCCCTAAGCCAGCCTGGCCTCCTGGGGCTATAGCCATGGTCTCTGGTCTCCCAGCCATCTCCTGAGCTACATCCCACCTTTCTGTGTTCCCAGCTGCCCCCAAGATGTAGCCTCCCTGAGAATGTTCCATGGCCCCCCTTGAGCTCATCACAGCCCATACTGCACACAGCACCCAGCTACCACATCCACACAACACCCCCTGCTCCTCCCAACCCCATCTCAGCAAAGGGCACCACCCCCTACCCTGTGCCCACACCAGTAAGCGGGAGTCAATCTGACCCTTCCTATCCTGATTCGCTGTGTCTGCTCAGTCGCCAAGTAGGGCAGTGCTTTTCTTGTCCCATGTCCCTCATGCCCCTCCCAAGGCTTGTCATCCCTACATCCACCTTATCCACCTTACAGGCACCCCAGCCCCTCCCTCCACTTCCTCCGTGGTCTCTGCCTCCAGCCTCCAGCCTGCCCCTCCTTGGCCAAGACCCTCCCCTGACTTCCTGGAGCCTCAGGGAGAACCTGCCCTCCGCGTGGGCCCCCAGAGGAGCCATCTTCCTCCCCACTCCTGGCCGCCTCTCGCTCTCAGCACTAGAGCCCGTGTGCCAGGCCCCCCGCTCCCACCCGGCAGTTTCTCCCCCTCCCTGCCTTTGCTGCCCTTCAACTTGGCATGCCTGCCCCCTAGCATGGTCAGACCCCTACTGGTTCTTTAAATCACGTGGAGGTAGGGGGCCCCTTCTTCCAGAAAGCCTTCCTGGAAGCTCTTTGGCCTGGATGTGGGCCCCGCCTTGATGCCCCCAGATGCAGGGAGCTCATTGCCCCCACATGGTGAATGATTAGTGACTGCTCAGTGTCTGTCTCTGCCAGGTGGTGAACTCCTGGAGGGCAGAGCCCCTGGAGGAAGGGAGGAGGTGGGATGGGGTGGTCTGTGGCTTTTGATAAATTGATTTTTGAAGAGGACCTAGAGTATGTGTGTGTGTGTGTGTGTGTGTGTGTGTGTGTGTGTGTGTCTGGGGAAGGAGCCAGGGGTCAGATACCTGGGCTTGGTGGCCCCAGAAGACCGTAGGCAACCTGGGGAGGTCCGGAGGAGCTCAGAGGGACTGCGTGGGCACCCTGGACTGGGGGTCATGTTGGAGGGAGGTCTGTGGGAACCCCCTAGGTGCATCTGAGAGGGCCCCCGGGGTGGGGGGGCACTCCGGGATGAGGCGGACAGGGCTGGTCGGTGAAGGTGTGCTCTGTCCCCAGAGGTCCTGTCGAGTCGCATGGAGGGCATGATGGCCTCCTACACGCCGCTGGCCCCCCCACAACAGCAGATCGTGGCCATGGAGCAGAGCCCCTACGGCAGCAGCGACCCCTTCCAGCAGGGCCTCACGCCGCCCCAAATGCCAGGTGACCACATGAACCCCTATGGTAAGCCGCCCCCACCCTCTGCCTGCCCCAGCACCGCCCCCGCCCGCTGCCCGACCCGGCAGGCCTGGGGCCACGACAGCCACCTCCCATCCCCGGGCCGGGCAGACCACGCCAACAAGGCCCACCTGCCTCTTCCTGACAGAAGGGGCGCCCTCGAGACCCCACCCGCGGCCCTCAGCACCTCTGGTCCTGCGCTGCCGCCACAGGTCATCCTGTCCCTCCTCACCTCTGGCCACACAGCCTGCAGGGCCGCCAGGAGCTCCAGCCCTGGCTCCTGACGCCCCCTCTACCCCCAGGGAGCGACTCCATGTTCCATGACATCGACAGCGATACCTCCTTAACCAGCCTCAGCGACTGCTTCCTGGGCTCCTCGGACGTGGGCTCCCTCCAGGCCCGCGTGGGGAACCCCATCGACCGGCTCTACTCCATGCAGAGTTCCTACTTCGCCTCCTGAGAGCCAGCTGGCTGCATGGACGCTTGGGCCAGGGTCCTGGGGCGGGCCTGCGGCCGCCGCAGCCAGCCCCGCCGCCCACACGGACTCTACACACAGCCATACGGTGCCCTTCCCTGGGCCAGCCGGGCAGGCGGATGGGCACAGCCTGGGCAGGGCTGTATCCTGCCCACAGAGACCGCGTCACCCCAGGGACCCAGAGTCTCAGAAAGCCACTCGCCTCCCAGCCCCACCTTGGCCTCCATCGCCTCCTTCTCCCTACCCATCTCTTTTTTGGGAAGCTTAAATTCTCTCTATTTTTTTAAAAGTCCTCTCTGTGTCCAGCCAACCTCCACAGGCCGGGCCTAGGCCAAGACAGGGCCCGCGTGCATGCCCCCCGGGCGGCGGTGTTGGGTGCAGTGCCCGTTACCTGCGAGAAGCACAGGACCCTGCGCTCTGGGCTGCGGCCCCCCTCCCCCACCTCCGAGGGCAGGCCTGCCAGCCTGGGCTCACCTGTCCCAGCCCGAGCCTGGAACAGAAGTGGGGAAGAGTTTGGCCGGTGTGCCAAGCCCACTGAGGCACTGCGCAGGGGCGGGGGGTGGGGGACGGTCCCTGGGGAGGGGAGACTGAGCCTCTCCTGCAAACATACGCACACTCGAAGGCACACCCGTGCGGATAGGCACACAGACGTGTAGACAAGCTAACAGAGACACAGAGGCGCTCTGTGGGTCAGCCTTGCCATGTCAGGAAGGGAAAAGAGACCAGACAGGGGCAGGGACCCCCTCTTCTTACAGCAATAGGAAAGAAGGAAGGAGGAGCGGGAGGGAGGGGAGAGTTTGGGGCTTGAAACACACAGGAACCCAGATATATCCCCGCCCCAGTCTGTATAGGTGCTGCCTGAGCCGGCAGGGTGCCCGACCCGACCAGCTGCACGGGCAGAGACAGAGCCCCAGACCCAGGGAGTACTGACAGCAGAACCTCCGGGCGGGAAAGCGACTTCAAAAGTCACCCACTTGGCTCATCATCTGAAGTGTGGCTCCCTCTGCCTCTCCTCGCATCCCTCCAGGGGCAAGGAGCCCACTGCTTCATCGGGCCCCAAATCAGCTGCTGTTTTCTGCTGATTTCACCTCTGCCTTTTTCAGCCCTCAGTCTTCATTTATCAAGGCCAGACTTTTCCAGTGTCTCCAGCTCTTCCTCTTAAAACTGTACCCTCAGCTGGGCTCCAGATATAACCCAGTCTTCCCACTGACCATCAGCCAGTCACCTCCCCCTTTTAGGCGCCCTGCCTCTGTTAATGTGGCCCCAAATCCAGTGCACAGTCCAGGCCACATAACCTAGAAACTCACCCTGCCCTTCTGTCACTGAATCTCTTGGCCTTCACATGTGGGGCGGCCAAGCCACATCTCTCTTCTGTGTGTAAGTTGGGGAGGGGGCATCTCTTGTTTAGATCCAGGGAAGGACCTTGACCTTTTGACGAGTTCCATTTCTTATTTGATTCAGTCCAGCATGCGGAGTTTCTCTGCACCCCCAACTCTGTGGCCACTCGTTCACTGTCCCTCCTGAGCACATCTGACCCGTCTGGAGTCACCCCTGGGTTTCTTACCGAAGGCTTGTGCACCTTCAGGGCCTCTCCCTGTCTGGCATTGGCCCATGAACCAGTGGGTCCTCCTTGGACGATGCTTTCCAGTGCACTTCCAGCCCCGTTTTGTCAAACGCCCTGCCGGAAGCCAGATCTACTTGCATCACCCCCCACCCCGGATCCCCTCAGCTCTAACCCTGTCAAAAGAAGAAGTGAGGGCCCTGTTCTCAGTGACCCCCCTCGTTGGCCTCTGGTGGCCACTGTATCCTCGGCCAGGTGCTGACAACCTGCCTTTAATTCTAACGCCAAGCCCTAGGCCGCCCCGAGATCTGCCCAGTCCAGGCTTTGAGCTAATAGAGCGGTGGGTGTCTCTCTCTGCCCTTGGGCCCCTCCACCCCACTCTCTGGGATCCTCAAAGTTCGCCAGCCTGCCCTGTGATTTTGCTCCTCTGTCCTCAGCTTCTCCCAAGTGTCCCGTGCTCTTCACCAGAGCCGTCATCGGGGCCCTGCTGCTCAGTGGTCCCCTGGGGCTGAGCAGCCAGCCTGGCCCTTCCGTGCATTCCTCGCTCCACACGGACTCCCGCAGGGACCTTGGCCACTGGCCCCCCGTCCTTCTCTCCCTTAGTCCATCTGTGCCATCTCTCGTCCTGGGCCCCCAGGGGTGCCTTAAGGCAGCCATGCTGATTTCTCGAGAGATTCTCTCTTCCTTCTCTTGTGCTCACAGGGTCCAAGTCACACTGAGGGCACTTGGGGGGTGGGGGGGCCCAGGGCCAGACCCCGCCCCCAGCCCCCAGGAGCCCCGGTCCTTTTTCCCAGATTCTTTTGGTAGGAAGGAACCTCAAGAATGGCTGTCTAGTCCACTCCCTTTACCCGCAGCTGGAAGACCTGGGCTGGGGGAGGGGAGGCCACGGGGGCACCATGTCCGCCCCTCAGTCTTTCTCTGGTGAATGGCCTCCAGGTCAGAGGGGCATGGCTTCTCTTAGAAAACTCTGCCGGCCCCTGGAGGGCATCTCTTCCCGCTCGGGGGCCTCACAACCTCCTAAGTCCAGCCACGGCTCTGCCCCCACTGTGCACTGGTGGCTCCTTATGCAGAGCTGGTACAGAGACCCCCACACTCCTGTCCCATGGACGGCCGCAGCCAGACGGACCTTAGAGAGCCCCGTGGGCCTGAGACGCCCCACGAGTCATGATTAGGTACTTGCTGTATGCTACAGCTCACCGCCCCCAGTTCCCTCGGGCGCCCCTCAGACACTGATGTCCACTCTGCCCAGACCTGGAGACACAGGTAACAAGGGGTGGGGCCCACCCTTGAGGGGTTTCTCCTAGAAAGAGAGCCATTCACACTCAGACCCAGCCCTGTCCAAACATTAGTGGGGACCCATTTCTCAGGTGAGGAGCCCGAGGCTCAGAGAAAGGAAGCAGGTTTTCAGGATCACCCAGCAGAAGCACACAGAGACAAGCAGGCTCGCTGGAATCGGGGGCAAGCCGCCATGAACAGGCTCTCCCCACTTCATGTGGGAGGAAGCGCAGCCCTGACTTGGGGGTTCAGCGAGTGGCCAGGGGCGCTCCCCACCCCGACCAACCATCCTCGGTGGTGGCTGGGATGCAGAGCCCAAGAGAAGAGGGAGGTAAAGGTCTGGCCCCAAGGAAAAGGCAGAAAGTGTGAAGTGGGCAGGGGGGAGTATCCAAGTAAAACCAAGTTCTGAATTCCCTGCCAGGGAAGGTGAGGCTCAGAGGGAGGAAGGAATTTGCCCCAACAAATTTGCCTCAGCAAATGAGGCAGAGGAGAGATGAGAAGGTGGGGTCCTGTCCCGAGCCGGAGCCTCAGCTGCCTGCTCTGTGGAGTCTCCTGGAGGGGGCCACACAGACAGAGGGACACTGGTTCCAAAGGTCAGACCACAGAGCTGCAGGAGAAGCGGCCACTACAAGTCGGCTGGCCGTGTTGGGAGGCTTCCCAGGAGGGGAAGGAGAGGAGCCCACTGCCTCTGGACAAGCAGGGCCCAAGCAAGGTCAGGGTTGGGGTGGCCTCTTCCCCCTTATGGGGCTCAGCTGCCCCTTAGCAGTGAGGCTGCCACCCCCCACCCACGTGGAGCCAGTGCCCCTTGCTCTCTGCGCACACGCACCACACAGGGAGCCTCGGGGGAAGAACTAGCAGCTGACCCCTCCCTGGCTGGAGCTCTGGGCACTTCCTTGGCTGAGGACTTGACCTCCAGCCCGGAGAACCCGCAGTTCCGGGGGCCCCTCCGCCACGTGGGGAAGAGGATCCGCACTCACACGCGCGCACACAGGTACACACTCACACCCGAGCGCACACGGAGGCTCACAGACCCACACTCCGAGTGCACGAGGCCTGAGGGCTGGGGGGGAACAGGAAAGACCCTCCGACATTTGGCCCTTGGAAGGTGCAGTTTGCAATGAGCCTGTCTGCTGGTGCCCCCATGCCCAGGCTGGGGACCGGCCGCCGGCCATTCCTCTGTGTTCCTTGTACAGACTCTCACTGCCCACCCGCCATCCCCAGACACATTTTATTTAATAACTTGTCATTGTTAAATTATTTATTAGCGTTTACCACATCACCACCCCCAACTTGCCCTCCACGCTCACCTTCTGCCTCTTCCCACAAAAGCAGAAAATGGAAACAACAAAAGATGAGACATCAGTATATTTGTAAATAAACCAACCTGTACACGCCTGTTTCGCCTCTCCTTGGGGGAGGGGCGGGCTGGGCCCTCGAGAGCCGGGAGAGATTTCTCCGGGACTCCAGGGACAGCAGATCACGGAGGAGGGAAGCCTGAGGGCCCTGTTCTCGCCCTGACCCATTCCTTGTCTCATCCCATAATCCTGGGCCTGTCCCAACCCTGAATCACCTCCCTGCTTAAAACAAACCCATCCATCCCCTCTCACTCTCTCCCATTCTGCAGCACTCTTCATTCATTCATTTATTCACCCAACAAACATGAAGGGTCCTTTAAGTGCCAGCTTAAGGCTGGGAACCAGGGATCAGTGGTCTGTGCCTCAAGGAGGTAGACTGTGACATAAGCTCAGTCGAGGAAGGAAAGGCCTTGTTACGGCATACTCAACCTCACCTGGAGGGGTGAAGCATCATGGAGGGCTTCCTGGAAGAAGCTACATTATTAAGCTGCGAGCAGAAGTTAGGCAGCATGGAGGAGATGAGGTGGGGAGGAGTGTCTGCCCGTGCTTTGGGCTTGGGAATGGAGGAGAGGGAAAGAAATGATGAGACTAGAGGCAGGACCAGACCACCCAGGGACTTGATGATGACTGGCGAATAGATCCAATTAGGTTGAGAGGACTAGATAGAGGCACGGAGGTTGATTGGGTCACCTAGGGGACAGGTGGTAATGGTTTTGACTTGGGGGTGTCGTGTAATAGGAGAAACAAGGGGACAGATCCTAGAGAGAACCCAGAAGGGCAGTCACGGCAATGGC